AAAGTATCTAATATATATTTATATTTAATTGTTTATGTTTTTATGAAGTGTTGAGAATATGAAAGGACACCTAAAAAATTTGGTGCACATGCGAAAATAGGAATAATAGTAATATCGAAGAATTTACTGGTTTGAACTAGGCACAAATTCGAAATTGCATTACATACTTATGTATGTATGTAAGTATGTAAATATGTATATTCGAACATTCATACAATTAAAGGACATTTTGTTGACATCAAGCGAAATTTTTCTCAAACCTTCAATATTATACAAATATGTTTATAATAATTTTTGTGTACATAAATATTAAGCGCTGAATGTAAAATTTAGGAAGAGCGTTGTTCGCCAACGAGTGCATATAAAGCGTGCTTATAATGGCCAGATGTGTCGCCCTGTAAAAGAAAAAAAATAATGATTTGCTTAGATAAAGAGCTTAGTTTAAATCAAATGACTGCATTACCTTAATCCAGCTCTTCAGACTCTTTCCGTACATGCGCTCGTATTGTGCCTTAATATCAGCCATATCAATCTGCAAGTAAAATTAAACGTATTGAACATAAAAAAATTATTATTTTATTTGTTTATTTCGCGTATGTTTCACTCACCTCCGAGCGCGTGATCACGACACGTATCAATTGTTTATCATTCGTACCAATGCCCGCCATGCTCTTGTGCAGACGCGAAGCAAAGTACTCCGTCTTGTTGGTGACACACTTGTATATGGCAACCAGTCCCTCCATTATGTCACCAGAGAATTCTTTGCGTATGGCTTTTTCCAGTGTGTGACCGGTCATTTTTTCGTATTCTTGGAATATCTACGTAAAAGAAAATTGCATGAATTAGAAAAATATTAAATAAATCGTACACAAAAAAAAACATATATTTGTATATTTCCACTCACCAGTTTCAGCTGTTGATAGTTACGTTGGCACAATATCATATTGAACATGCTTTCGTCGGTGCCTACACGCAATTCGCCTGCCTTGAGCAGCTCACGTGCATCGGCCTGCGCTGCAACTGGATCTATTTGGCCGCTCTCATCCCGTGCTGCTGCGCATAGTGAGACTAAGAGACGCTTAAAGTTGCCAGAAGTCTCCGATTTCAATTCGGATTCCAAGTGGGCGCCATACACTGCAAATACGAAATGGTGTAGATGATTAGTAAGAAGCTATGCGTACGATTATTTACAAAAAAAAAACAAAAATACTTAAAAAATGTGGAGTTTATGTGCTAGTTCCTTTATTGAAACTTACAGCGCAAGTACTGATTCTTAATAGTGTGTATTTCTACATTCGACAATGTGCATAGTATTTCGATGAGCACTTCCTCATCTGTGCCGATTCCTGCCATCGCATCGTTCATCTCGGCGCAATAAAAGTCAACAATTGGACGTAGGAGTCCGACAAGCAATTTTTCGAAATTTCCACTGGTTTCAGATTTAACATCTTCGATGAGATCCTTGCCAAAGTGTGTTTTGTATTGACGTTGAATCTCCTGGAAGAGAAAATGAAAGAAAATATATATTTATCACATAGCTGGATTAAACCAATATGTATATAATATGCAACAAATTATATTACTCTCACCACCTAGGATTGTTCTATACCGAAAACTATTATACCCCTGTTTTTTTTATTTTGAAATCAAAGAGGTCGCTCAAAGCGCTCAAAGTTTCCTATATGGGGAAAAACAAATTTACGTAGAAGTGGTATAGAATTCCGGAAAATCAATATTTCTCGATCGGGAAATTCTGTTGATTTTCAGGAGACTTCCAATAATAATATCCAATTGTTTATTTAACCATTTTTAATTTAGTCTGTTCCAATAGCAGTCCCGTTTACAGGATTTAGTCAGAACTTACAGGAAGTCGTTCCTATTGACATAAAACCTGTAAGTGGGAACACATTTGAGAGAGTAACTGAGCAACTGTTCCTAGTCAGAAGTTACAGGATTTAGTCCGGGGTTTTTTTTCCTGTAAGTTCATGAAAAGTGTCAAACGATCAGCTGATTTGCATGTGCAAACAAAAACAGAAAGCGGTGAAAGCAAATAACCTTATATTTGTAAAAAAAATGGAAGTAAACAACGAAATATTTGAATATGTATAGATTTTAATAATTAGTTAGTGATATTTCAGCTAAATCAGTGTTGTTCAAATGACATGTAAACAAGCCGACGGACGTTTTTACAGGAAATAGTGCTTTTTGCGTTCCTATGCACTTCTGCATCTGTTCTCCTTTTACTCTCATTTGAGAGCGTAAAATTGTAGTTTGACAGTTCCACAGGTTTTAGTCCGAAGTTCAAAGGAACAGACTAATTATTGACTTTTTTAATGGGACCCCTAAAAACCACAAAAAATGCGATGGGGGCATTTAAAAAATCGATAGTATTAAAAAATAGTAAATTAAATTTTTGGGTAACATTATTTGAAGTCTCCTGAAGAGAAGCCGAGTTTTCCAGTCGAAGATTATTGATTTTCAAGAACTCTATACCATTTATATGAAAAATTGTTTTTTTTTTTCTATATAAAATATGTACATGGCGCTTGGAGCTACCTCTAAATAATTTTAGATTTTAAAATAAAAGTCCTTTACTTTTCCACATAAAATTGTTGACCACCCTAGTGTACACACACTAGTGCATTTTAATTTTTGTGCATTAATTAGAAAGTCTGATAATCTCTAGCTAAATACCTTACTGAGTGACGTACATAGACCTTTCATCATATCTCTGTCTGTAGCCCGAAATACATATTTAGTTAACTGCTAAAAACTTGGGAAAGCTGACAGTGAGTATATTGGCCACCTTTAAAGAGTATTTTACAGATCACACTAGTGTTTTAGCCAATGAATGCTGAAACAGCCTTTCAAGTAGGTAGGTAAAAAAATAAAGGGATCGGTAACTGAATGGTGTCACAGCCTATATTGACCTATTAGGAGGGATCTCCTCTAACCTAAGAAAGCCTGAAATATCGATTTTTCAAATACATACGAAGTTAGAGTCAAAATCTTAGCAATTACGAAACTCCGTGTTGAAAAAAAGTTATCAAACTGAAAAATAAATTACCAATTTACCAAATTCGATAAGGAAATACAAAAATTATCCATTTTTCATTTCATTTATTGGCAACGCTGCCGTCATTGTTATTGTAAAAGCTTTTGTATTGCAGCCAAGTGCTTTAATAAGCTTCGCTAGCAAAGGCGCAAACCTAAATGAGATGAAAACTTTTTTGGTTTGCTTACCGTTGCCACTCTTATAAAAAATTAGCCATCGTGGAATTGAATGATGGATTTTGCTATTGTTGCAAAGTTTATGATTGTACAACTTTATGTACAACTTTTTTCTGAAGAACTACTGTCATTTTTTTACTCAATCAACACACATACAACCAAAATTCGGTTCAGTAAAATTTAAAAAAATTAATAACTGTAAGCCCAAGCACCAGTGTTGCCAGATCAGAAGTTTTCCCGCTAGATTTAGAGACTTTTGACCGTCCTAGGGGAAAATTTAGGGGGATCGAATATTTAGGGGAAAGCTCTAGAGGGAAGAAAATGCGTCTAGGGTTAATTCCAAAAGGATTTTTGGGGGTAATCCATTATCTATGTAAACAGTTTTATATATGTACATAAAACTATATCTTCAAATTCAGCTACCAACGCCAACGCAAACCTATGTATTTATATGAAAATATGTCATTAGGGGTATTCTCTGAGTCTTGCAAAGCCCTTGCACGGTGCACGGTTTGCAAAGCTGTCCCATACGAAAACCGGTTTTTACCATGCAATCTGTGCACGGTGCCAGGGCTTTGCAAGCCTCAGGGAATACTCCTATGTATTATGTTTTGGTGCCAAATGACAAATAACAACTAGAGTTAGTTAAAAGTTTAAGTGAAATTAAAAATGTAATCCCTCAGAAATATATGCACTAAATAAAAATAGACTATCTACAATTGACATTGAAAAAATAAAATTACAATAAATTCGAAATAAATAACTTTAGGGGTACAAAGGGGGAAATCTAGGGGAAAATGGCTGCCCTTGGGGGTAAATTACTGCAGTAACCTGGCAACACTGCCAAGTCCTTTTAAAATGGTCCCGTTTCCACATCAGAAGTTATACATTTCGTAGAACTTCTAATTTAGTATTTATTATTTAAGTTTTATAATTACCTGACGCTGCTCGTTGGAACGACGACAAATTATGTTTATCAAGGCATCTTCATCTGTGCCAAAACCTTTCATTGCCTTGCGCAAATCATGAGCATCCTTGACTGGATCAAAGTTTTGTGCTGGCAATACAGTTGGGGTGCCCTGAAGCAAAAACAAATAGAAATAAAAATCAGGAGCACAGAATACAAGTATCTATTGGGGAATATTCATAGTCGAAATTAAGGCGAGTTTAATAAGGTGGTGTTGGAGCGACAGCTGCCTTTTCGCAGTGGAAAGCATAACGTGAAAATGATGTATTTGTTGTAATTTGTTAGTATAATTTTTTACCTATATACGGCTAACACCACGCTATTAAATTCGCCTTGGTTTAAGTTAATGGCATCCTTTTTGACTGATATTGGCAACTTTTTTGAGGTTAATCTTTTACCAATTTGTTTGTTGCATTTGCTTCCATATTACGAATAAACACAAATAATTTTTATATGGAAGAAACCCGCAACACTTTCGGCAAAGGAAAAAACTTTAAAATTTGGATGAAATTTTTTTATATTTTTTTTTTAGATTTCTGCAAAGTCCTAAACATGGGTTTTGTAAGAGAATGAATTGTACTCTGACTGAAAATTCCTAAAAATAAATACATAAATGAACATGAGTGGCAAACAATATCATTTTGAATTTGGATGCAAATGATATGTACAATAAAGTACATTGTATGCATAATATTTACGTTTCAATGTGTGTATGTATATTACACTGATTTAAAACAATCGACTAATTATTTTTTTTTAAATCAGGGATATATCAAAAGATGGATGTTAAAGCGCAAACCTTAATATTAATTTTGAAAGGCCGGTCATCATCTTCGAACTATCGTACAGAAAAGTGTGATACATATTTTTGTAGTAAATCAGACGTTCTACAAAAAACGCTTGGTATCATTTTTTGATAAATCCACTGGTTTAACGGTTATACAAACTTAAATATAAATGTATGTCAATATTACAGTTTTTTCTCCTAATTTAGGTAAAATAATTAAAATTATCATTAAACATGCAAATTTTTTTTTAGAAAAATCCTGCAAATTGTAATTCATTGTTAGAAAAAGTGATTAAAATAATTTTTAGTGAATAATTGAGAAAACAATTTTTCGCACAATAGTTTTACAACGAACAAACCAAATTAAATTTTCCCCAAAATGGGGGGTTTTTAGTAAAATTAACTTTGCAAGCCTTATTAAACTTTACAATTTCAATTTTTAAAAGTTTTTTTGGATAGTTGAAAGTAGTTTTAATTATTTTACCTAAAACATCATGCGACAGTAAATTTTACACACAAAAAAAATTAATATATTCGAAAAACTATGGGTAAATTATAGTAAGACTGCACACTTTGTTTTTTTTCCCTCTGACGTCAGGATTTTTTTAAAAGAACTTTAAAATTAAAAAAAAAATTTGTTTAAAAAATTCAGCGCAAACGTAGGATTGCAATAAGGGTGTCATATACAAGAGAAAATTCTGTAGAACTTTAGCAGAGTAATTTTTTTGGTGCATAAGGACGAATGGGTATGGAAAATGTCCTTTACAAATATTGTCTTTAAATATCTTTGAAAATTTGCAATATTTTTTTTATGAAAAAATTATTGTTTGAGGACTAATATAAGCTCGACCTCATCATAAAATTTCGTCCTGCAAACTTTATTAACTTAAAACAAGTAAGAAAGCCTAAGTTCGGGCAGAGCCGAACATTAAATACCCGGCGCACGTATTAAATATATGTTTTTCACCTTACCGAAAGCTACGGCTATATGGTAAGCCGGGGCGTATCAATTTTGAGTAAATTAGAGTCCTTAGATTTCGAAATTTTGAAGTTTCAAGCAGTTCTGAAATTTACCGTTATATGAGAAGCGGCCGTTATTTTAGTCCGATTTCAATAATTTTCAACGATTTGCTTATATGTGGCAAGCACAATAACCACACCGAGTTTGGTACAAATTGGTAGAACGGTTACTGAGATACATATATGTGATCATAAGTGGGCGGTGCCACGCCCATTTTCCAAAAATTTATCACAAACGTATTTCTTGGTAAAGAATTGTTGCAAGCATCAATTTTGAATAAATTAGCTTCAATATTTACTGATTTATCGAAGATTTTGTATTTCTCTAATTTACCGTTATATGGGATGTGGGCGTGGTTATCGTCCGATTTTAAAAATTTTAGGCGATTTTGTATGCTGTACGAAGGCCGACAACTGTGCCAAGTTTGGTAGAAATTGGTACAGCGGTTACCAAGATATACACATGTAACCATAAGTGGGCGTGGCTACGCCCATTTTCCAAAAATGTATAATATTATTATTTTTTGTCAAAAAATTATTGTAAATACCAATTTTGAGTGATTTATCTTCAGTAGTTACTAAAATATCGCAGTTTTCGTATTTCTGGAAATTACCGTTATATGGGAAGTGGGCGTGGTTACAGTCCGATTTCGCCCATTTTCAATAGCAACCTACCTTGGATTAAGGGAAACCTACATACCAAATTTCGTTGAGATATCTCAATTTTTGCTCGAGTTATCGTGTACACGGACAGACGGACAGACGGACAGACGGACAGACGGACAGACGGACAGACGGACAGACGGACGGACAGACAGACATGGCTTAATCGATTTCTTTTTTTATCCTGATCATTTATGTATACATTTGTCTATATCTATCTCGATTCGTTTTGGCTGTTACAAACAACCGTTATGTGAACAAAATTAATATACCCTTGTGCACAAGTGCGCTCGGGTATAAAAATATAAAAATACAATTTATAATTCATTCAAAGTGATAGCAGGCGTACTAAAATAAAATTTTATGAATTCGCCATGTTTTAAAAAAATAAATAAATGTTAAATATTGTTTTTTTTTTTTTAAATCTACCAACTTCTACCATTTTCCAAAGTCCGTGCACTGGTGTGAATACATGCATGTTTTGCGAAAGCTTAGCGCACTTTATTATGGTCAGCATGGCAATCAGTTGGCATCAGACTCGCGGCGTGTAGAGAACTTTTGTGTTTGCGTGTGGATTTTCAGTGCTTACTCGTACATAAATACATACATATGTATACATATATGAATTTGTGATTTTCCAGTGCATCTTTGTATAAAAATAAACTTTAAAGTTTAATAAAAATTTTTTTTTTTTTTACTCAGAACTGATGGCTTAAAAATGGTACACTCCAACGAAGATGCTCTCAATAAAATTCCACTGAAATCTGCTAGCGGCTTAGATGATGAGGAGAAAAATGGTGGAGAATTCACTAGTGATACAGCGGCGGCGGAGGAGGCGAGACGCGAACAAATGTAAGTGTAAAATAAATAATTGAACTAATTTTAGAAATATGTATGTAATGTGCACTTCAGTGTAAACACGGCAATAATAGAAGGTGTAATTTAAAAAATAGTCTATGAAACAACTTCTAAAGCATAAAATTCGAAAATAAGATAAAATGTATTCTACCGTCAAAATAAAATTCTAGAATTGGGAAACTCAGCTCAAAAGAAACGTTAAATAGAAAGGCAACATCGTATTCCAAAAGCTTCGTCGACATATCCAGTTAGAGCTGCGTCTATGTAGCTAGTCAGTGGCTCCGGGTACGATGGCCGGACACGTTAATGTTTGTATTTTTTAGTATGCATTTTAATAACTCGGAGATTTCCGAGAACGCGTTGGAGGAGTTGGTCAAAGGTTTTAGTAGGTACTGCATGAAGGAACACTCTTGAAAGCGAGTGTCCACTCATATCTCGGAAGGGAAACTGCCCTGGCAGACGGCAGAGCTCTTTGATTTGAGGGCGTCGAGCAGACGACTTTTTAATAGGGCTCGTAAAAGTGGTTTACCATCGGACTGGGTACTATTATAAAGTCCCAAGTGCAAAATTGGAATAGCGAAGAAGAAGCCATGGACAACCTCTTGGAAAAAAGCCCGGTAAGGGCTCTTATGCTTTCGCTAAGGACTTCAGGACTCTGTCTTCGTTTTTGGTAAACGCCGGAAAGGCTGATTCAATGGGATTCCTCGTTACTGTCTGTTCAGAGTTCAACATGATCCTTGCAACTAGTGCACATTAGTAAAGTGGATAGAGCCAGGTTACACTGAAAAGGATTGTGTAGTAGGGGCCTTTATCGACACTGAGAGGCCTTCAATAATGTCATTTTTGAGGCAATAGTCATGTCTCTTTATAAATGAAGTGGTTGAAACCAACCTAACATGGCACATTAACAGTTTACTTTGCGCTGGAAGTGGAGTTGGGGAGCGCCTGCACTCAGCGCAGACTCAATAGGGGAACTTTGCAAGGTAGTGCCCTCCCTATCCCGCTCTGGATTACGGGTGGAGACTTCTAGACACCCTTTTTGATCAGACCCAAGGTTGCCTAAATTCCGTAAACGTAAGTTGCATAAGTGTGACATCATACAAACAGCGATTCTGTTAAATTCTATGAGAGCGAAATAACGGTACGAGATGGGCGCCACCTTTGTTGTCTAAATCGTGATAATAAGTTATGCCCATTATCCACAGCAATGGCCACATTCCAGTCTATATCTAGTCCACTATGATTAAGGCAAGCAAAAAAATAAAAAATCCCTGTTGGAATGCCGCGACGTAGCTAGATCTATTAATCTTGTCCCCAAGAGGGTGTAAACAATAATCGTTCTCCAAGTTGTTTGCGTATTGGCCGCAACAAGTTCGTTTGTATATTCCTTTATTCCTTCATTTGACCCTTATTTCCTTTCACTACAATTGATGGGAGCAACTCTTTCGACAACGAATTGCACCTGCTAAGTAAAGTTCAGTTTAAAGAGCAAAGCAGCTGATTGTTGGCGGAACGCTACCGCACTGGAGAAAATTATTTATTAGAGTTGTTCGCGCCAAAACGATACCGACCATTAATAGGTAGGAAGGGCTGACGCGGAAAACCACAATAGGGGCGTCGTATTTTTCTCTTATTGTCACACTTTTGCTGTGCGCCGTATGATGGCATTGGCAAAGCCCATGGTTTTTATGACCAATTCTTTTTTAGAACGGGCCGGCGCCAATTGATCGGGCACCAACAACTAAGGCCCAATGCTTTCGCTACGCGTGGCTATTGTTCAACTTGTTAGTGCGCGCCGGGGCAGAATTAAGCCAGCATTAAAGAGGGCGAAAAGGGTTAAGTATTGTTTCTGTATTTGTTTGCACGTACTATTTTCGGTAGTTGTGGCCCTGTTGTATTCTCCATCGCATCCTTTTAGCATCCCGCACCCAGAGCGCAGTCTGTTCACGATTTAAAGCTACCCCGACAGCTTGGAAGGTATTGCGAGAGGGTTCATAACGTTTTTGTTTGGACCTCACCTCGCGTGCACCTCAAAAATGTTTAGTTTAGTGTTAGTAGCTTGTACTAAGTCGCCTTTTTGGTTATTTGCGTTTTCAGTTTTTTGCGGATCATCCTAATGTTGGTATTCTAAGTAAGTTTATTTACTTGTTCATTGGTGCTGTTCTCCCCACTGTCTCATTTAATACTTTATTCGCGCTTTAAATTTGTGCTTTTCATTGTTGTATCCGCACCAGCAACCAAGCCGTTTCCACTGATACATTTTTGTCATCTCTTTTTCTATAGTGCATTTGATTATTTGGATTTTCTATTGCGTTGTTGTTGTTGCGTACTCTAAATGCATTTACATTAGGTTGGTAGGCAACTTTAAGAGCAAAAAGGTGGCAAGGTTTACAAAGCTACTTACATATACGTCGACAGTCATATACTACTCGAGTGTGTTTTGAGGTTTCTCTACGAAGTAGTGGATTGGAAAAAAAGTACTATCTTTCGAATTGGTTTGATGCAAAAACCATTTTAGCAATTCACTAGCGGGTTTACTAGTTGAATAACTCCAGCTAATTCAAAACTTGAAAAAGTACTATTGCATTCATCAACTGGACGGGCTTATAAATTTAGCATGACAGAGTAGATGCGATAGGGGCCTTAATAAGGAGTCATGAAGTACAAATTGGAAATTGCAAAATTATACCAACGTGTCACAATCATACTAATAGCTCGTCTAAAATATCCATATTATATGTCTTGAGTCACGACTTAATAATTTTTTTTTTTTTTTAATTCATGAATACAGTACTATTTATTTTCTCAATTGTGTTACATACATGCTGCATATATGACTATTATTATAGTTTCCTGCCGAATTATGCATATAATTAAATAACTCATTGCCCCTATTGTCTATTTTTAGGCGCGCGAACATCCTCAAATGGATGAAAAAGTTAACGATAGTACTCATCTGCTTTATCGGTGTGGCACTCATCTCCTACGTTATTATCAGTCTATGCTTTAGCGGTAAGTAAATGCACTTACGTGCATTTGTACATAATTCTTGTTTCTATCCACTTTTCATTCAAATGCACTTTGCTTTTATGTACAAATTTACTTAGTGCATAGCTACTCTTATTTATTTACATACCTACGTACATTAATACATGCAATATAACTTGAGTGACAAATATTAAAATCAATGAAGCATAAATTATATCTACGCTCTTTTGCACTGTACAAATTAAAACACCTACCCTGTTACTGATAATTTGCATTGCATTTTTTTTCTCTTTCATTCTGCCAACTCTTTCATTTTCCCCGCAAATAATAAAAAAAAAAAAATGCACGAAACCAAAACAAAAAAAAAAAATATCAACATCACCACCTCCAACACACCAACCACCAACCACCACCACCACTGTCACCATTAAAACCACTCCACAGATTGGTCTAAGACGTCAAATGCACAAAGCAAAAACAGTACAGCCATCGACAATGATACATCCTTCGCTCTTCCCTCCATCTCTAATTATTCTCTCTCGCCAGACGATGACAGCAACAGTAGTAAAAATGGCGCGCTAGCGTCAAACTCAACAAGTGACAGTGCTGAAGAAGGCAGCACAATAGCCGAGCTTACCACCACTACCATCGCCACTGCAGCCGGCAGCATCGCGATAGCCGGCTTCAGTGAGTCAGCAGCAACACAGCCTACTGACGCCCTCACCGCCACCGTCAGCGCCGAGCCACCAACGGCGCCAATATCCACCTCGGCTACCAACAATATGCCCACCACAGCTCAAACAACCGCCAGTAGCCAAGCGAAACCAACGAGAAAGGCGCTGGTGCTCAAGGATACACCGCCATTGATAAAGGAGAAATTCGTATCGAAATTGGGTGTTTATGAGCAGGCGGCTGTGTGTTCAGATCGCGAAGTTTGCAGCGAAATTGGCAGGTGAGTGACGTAGTAAGAAGAAGAAGGGCCCGTTAGTTCAAACAAACGTACATATATATATATATATCTATGTACAAATGCACACACAGGGAGCCGAGAAGGGCAGTGAATTGTAAGGCATATGTTGGTTGCCAATTTATTTGATTTCGAAACTTAATTTAATTGGATACTCAACTGTGCGATTGGCAATTATGATATCGAATTGCTTCGCTATATTTTAGGATAGAATTTTTCTGATTGCATAGCAGCTAACGGGCTGTGCGCATGCAACCTGATAGTCCACGCATCAACTAAAAAAAAAATGCGGCTCGTAAATTTACTTTAAAAAGCGTTGAGGAGTGGCTGAAGGATTATATTTTTGGAAATAAAAGCAACATTTAAATGCTTAATGAGCCATCGAAAGTGATATGTTTGTTCAGCGAAAGGTCATAAGTAGGCGTTTTCAATTGAGGTAAGGCAATGTTGGGCACACTAAAAATGTCCTTTCTAATAAAAGAAGAGTTGTGCCATAATAATTGCTGTGTTGCTTGCGTTGGCTAAGAGACAATTAAAAAATGTTTTCCAGTGAATATTTTAGAAATTCTTAGGCTGTTTTCTATTCGCAATTTCTCTGCTCACTTGGGTTCATCACTGCTAGCTGAACAAACTTTTTTTTTTTAATCGGAAAACAGCAACAAAGTTAGCAGCACACGGAGCGGAGCACAACGCTTCGGATTTAACGGAAATGCTGTCGAAAACGAAAGTAGTTTTTGACTGTGAAAAAAATATTGAGGAGAAGGATCTGCTTATTAAATGTTTTCCCTTCTTAACAAGAGGTCTAATTTGCCAATCGGAAAATTGTACAAGACAAGTAAAATCTTCTGAAATATAGACCGTATGGAGCCATTCATGCAAAGGCATATCCATACAATATTTGTATTTGCAAAATGGAAAAGAACTTAAAATATTATAGTGACACAAACGGTTCCGGAGATTTGCCCACATATCCAAGAGCAGGTTGCCAAAAGAAATCCCAAACTCTCATTCTCAGTAGGGATGATTTCGAGAGTGCCCTGTCATTAGCCATGCAGTTTCCTGCAATGCCACTGTACCCCGAAACCCATATCAGCCTGATTTTTAAGTAAACTGATGCGGCTCAGAGAGAGATTAGGCATTCCGCGTAAAGTTTTGATAGATATTTACCATTCTAATCACTATTGAAACGATACGTAGCCGGTCGAGTTCCTCCTCTATAGCGACCACCCCTGCTTGAAATATGCTGCGGAAATCTGAAATCCTTAATCTGAGTTTAACAGGGAGTTTCTGGCAGAACACACGTTTCCCAAGATTTTCGAGTGCTGGATTGAAGGATTACCGAGTGCTTCCTAGCTTAATGATGAAGCAGGCTGCGATAGCCTTACACTCCACATCTACGGATACGAACCTAAGCAAAACATTAAATGCTAGAGTTGCCTCCCAATAATTGCTAAATGAATTATTCACGAATTTTCTGAAGGTGACATAAATATATGGCCGAAGTTGGAAATACTGTACTAAAATGATAAAATGTCGTAATCACCCATGCGACCTGGTACGTAGAGTAAAAGAATTTCGTTGTGTTTACCAACTCAATATAACAGAAACTTTCACTGTCGAACCTGTTTAGAAATAGATAGAGGGCTGACCATGCCTTGCGTGCAGCTTAGCTCTTATCCCTCCATTGTTCTGTATCACGTGTATCATGGGCTTGAGGTTACCAAATATTTTGGCTTGGAAAACCGAAGCATGTTCTTCAAATCAGAAGTGAACTGAAGCCTGGGCTCAGTGTTGGGACACGGCTAGCATTCAGGTCCAGGGAAGTAAATATTGTAGACTCTCTTCATGAAAGTAATAGTGGCTTACTATTCTGGAGCATACAAAATACCCGGTTGACCATACCTCTTCAAACAGCAATTTCTGCCTCCATAGCGTTGCCATATAAACTACGACGACTTTGGACAGCTAATCATTGCGTACCAGTACCAATGTTGAAGAACATCGAAGTCCGCTTGGGAAACTGAAACACCTTGTCATACCCTACCTTGGCGGCGGCTTTCAGATTAGGCAGAAACCATGCTCCGCAGTCTGCTAAGGGTAGGACATTCGCAGAGGATATGCTCCACTGTCTCCCCTTTCATTCTGCATCTTCTACAGATCTTATCATAAGTCAGAGGTCGAGTTACCGTTTAATCGCTGGGAGGGAAATCGGCACCTCCTCTATCAGCATGGCTTCCGACACAGCCGGTTTCCAGTACAGATGAACGTCACTATTGGTATGTAGCAATTCCAGAGCTGATGCTGTACGCTAGTAGCACCTTTATCGCAGCCCGACTATCGATATAGAGATTAACCTACTTATTTGCGTGATTGGTGTTTAGTAGCTTCGGTGCCCTCCTTATGGCAAATACTTCCGCTTGGAGGCCGAGCTCCGCATACGACTGTCGCCCCTAGGCCATTCTCATTCTTCGGTCCGCCTGTATAGATATTCACCGAGCCAGCACTCCTCACCACGCCAGCCTTCGACCTCTAAAGTGGCTTTGAAGTTAATTCCAGATCCGGGATCACATAGTCAATACGTCCAAGTGAAGTTGACGCTTTACCACTGTGACCGTAAGATAAGGCAGCTGATTTCAAATGAAATGTATTGAGAAACTGCTCTACCATATGACTGAGAATATATCGACTAACTGAGAAGAGATCGAATAATAGGGTAATAGACTCAGAGTATACCCATTTCTGACGAACCCAATGTTGTTGCAAAGGACCGTTTATATTGCCAAATTTCTGTCAAGGCTTTCTAGGTCTTATGCCCCACGTGAGATTTCAATGAAAGCTTGGCTTCGCTTGACTTTCACATACTTTACTTTGGAAGAAATAATAGGGAGTCACGCAAATGAGAAAGCACACCCTCCAAAGGACATCCTTTATTATTATATTTAACTCGCTATAACTGAATTCCATTGAACAAACTTAATTTATCAGCATTAAGTTGCACAAGTGTAGGCTGTCTATATTTAATTTATTTTTCCTCTCCCCTAAAACTCTTCGTTTCTTTCTTTCTGTTCCACAGTCACATGCTGGACCAGAAGGGTAGTGCTGTTGACGCCGCCATCGCCACTCTCCTGTGTAATGGTATCCTAACCATGCATAGCATGGGTATTGGTGGAGGCATGCTTATGAATATCTACCTTAAGGACAGTAAACATGCCTATTCCATTGACGCACGCGAGGTCGCACCGTTCGAAGCATTCCAAGAAATGTTCGATGGCAAACTAGAACTATCACTTAATGGTGGACTTTCGATTGCCGTGCCGGGCGAACTGATGGGTTATCATCGTGCGCACGAACGTTTTGGCAAATTACCCTGGAAGACACTCGTCGAACCGGCAATTAAATTGTGTCACGAAGGCTTCTTTTTGACACATCACCAATGGAGTGCATTGAATTATCGCTGGCATCATATGAAGAACAACACCGTGTTGACGTGAGTAAGCAGCTATCCAGCATACGAAACAATTCGCTTAACGTTTTTTTGCTTATTCCACAGCGATGTTTTCGTCAATGCCACAACTGGTCAACTGTACCCGGTCGGCACGAAAATTAAGCCACAAAAAGTGCTTTGTGAAACTTATGAGCTCTTAGCGGCAAATGGCCCACTCGACTTCTACAATGGTACGCTGGCGCATATGGTGGTGGAGGACCTAAAGGATCTTGGTAGCAAAATAACAGCATACGACTTGGAATCCTACTCCGCTGATATGGTCAGTTCGATTACCATGCAATTGGGCGACGATATACTCTATGCCGTGCCGCCTGTTAGTAGTGGCACTGTTGTGGCCAATATACTCAGCATTTTGGAAGGTTTCAATATCACCAAAGCCGATTTGGTTGGTGCGCAGAACGAGGCTAATACGCTGCATCGCATAGCGGAAGCGCTTAAGTTTGGCTTTGCAAAGCGCTGGGAATTGGGCGATTTGCGCTTCAACGATGTGCGTGAGGTGAGTTCACGTTGTTGAGTGCACATATTTGAATGCAAAACAACTCACTCTCTGTGTTATCTTTAACAGCTCGTCAGCAGACTTACCAACCCCGAGTACAGCATGAGCATACGTGAGAAGATCAACGATAATAAAGTGCACAAGGAAATCTTTGATTATGGAGCACAATTTATGGGCGAAGACGATGCAGGCACATCCCATGTAGTCGTTCTGGCGCCCGATGGCGATGCGGTTTCTGTGACGAGCTCCGTTAACGAATAGTGAGTACAATGCAACACCTCTTCTGTGTTTAAAATGCTCGCAATTTCAAATGATTTCAATTTTTTTCGTAGTTTTGGTGCCAGTCAGGCTGGACGTCGTACCGGTATCGTATTTAATAGCGCCATGAATGATTTCTCTGTCGCTGGTACTACTAATCACTACGGTCTACCAGCGGCACCTACCAATTTTATTGACGCACGCAAGCGACCCATGTCGTCGATGTCACCGATGATTTTGACCGATCAGAAAGGTAATGTGCGTTTGGTTTTGGGCGCTGCAGGTGGTTCGAAAATCATATCAGCTGTTGTTGAGGTGGCGGCGCGCATCCTATGGTTCGGGCAGAACATCAAGTCGGCCATTGATGCGCCACGTATTCATCATCAACTCTTACCAAATGTTTTGCAATACGAATTTGGTCAATTTAGTGAGGTAAGTGAATCACATAAATCTAAAAAAAAAGTATTGAAAATTATAAACAAGTTGTTTCGATTCCACAGGAAGTATTGCAGCTGCTAAAGGCGAAAGGACACGAGTTGCAACCCTACAAGGATATTGGCTCAGTGGTGTGCGCCATTGCGAGAAACGATACGGCGATATACGCGAATGCGGACTTTAGAAAACGTGGCGGCGTAGCTGGTTTTTAAAAGCACAACAATGAATTCTCAAATTTTTTACAAAAGTATGTATGTATTCAATATGTAGTACATATGTATACATAAATACATAAATAAGTGTGCGCTAAGTCCAAAAAAAAACAAAAAACACAACATTGCGAGATTATTTATTATCTACCACAAAGTCAATGAGAAGAAGAAAATAATGCTTTTCCTACATATGTATGCAATTATGTACACACATATTAGGGTGGCGCTTAAAATATCAACATCTATATTTTGTATGGGACATCATATTATTTTATTCTACGCACAAAATAAAGACAACCACGAATTTTTTCAAAATTAAAAAAACAATTATTTTAATTAAAAATTTTTAAATTTTACAAGTAATTTTTAAGCAAAAAACAAAACCGACTTCAAGATTCATGTAAAAATTTAAGATTATCGTTAATTTCTTCATGGTCCGATGATCGGATTTAAACCTTTCTCCCTTTTGTGAAGTCGGTTAAAAATATAAAATTTTTTTCTGCGTTCTGTAGCAGGATTTGATAGTTGGAAGGGCAATTAAAATACGCGTCAAACGCGTTATGTATGTACATAAAGTAAAATTTCATCAAAGTTTTGCGATTTAAATAAATTTTAATTTTTTCGAACCCTGGTAGCGACCCCTAAAATTTTTTTGAAATTTTGAAATTTTCGTGTATTCCTTAATTTTGTAAGTAGAAAAAAAATACCCATAGAAAATTTAGATGTTGACAGTTTTAAGGACCACCCTAATACATATATTATTCGAAATAATGCAAAAAAAAAAGAATTTTTAAGCTGTAAACTAAATAGTATTTGCATATGAATTGTATGCATGCATCCAGTGATTCTCTGTAGAAAGCAGAAAGTCCAACCGTGGACAACTGAAAACTCATTTTTGTACATTTTTTGACGACAACTTGTAAATTGTAGTATTCTACTTATATTTGTATTTTGTATTTTGTAATTTTTTAAGTATTATTCTTAGAGTTATTTCATATCATGTGCATACATACCTAAATACATACCAATCTATTTTGCATAAAATATATGTAGATACAACTGTATACACGAATACTGTAATTTTTGCTGAATTCCTATCTCAAATCAATCAAATAATTGTTTCATGCAACTATGAGTATTTAACTTGGTACTGAAAAAGTATTTGCTGTAAACCACCTAATAAAGTGCGTTTTTATTCAAAACATTTTTAATATATCAAACTGACGAAAAGCTTTAAAATATAAAAAAATTAAAATACAAGCGAAACACGATTTTTAAATAAGGCAAGACGCATTTTAAGATTAACTTATTGGTAAGTAGTCATTGTTTTTCGAATAAACTGATCGGATGATGAGATTCTAACTTTTGTTGCCACCTTAAAAGTTTTTTTCTAAGGACTTGACTTTTAATTGATTAATTCGAAATCGAAGCTTCGAGAATGAAAAAGTTGGCTCGTTTTTCCTTTCCAAGGAGAAGCTTTTATGTAGTGTCAAATAAGAAGAAGAAGAAGAAGAAGGTCCAATAATTACGATTTTTCTTCATTCATTAAACTTTTAGTTAGGCCATTTTAATTGAACGGCATAGATACATATGCACGTTGGTTGTTAGCGGTTCGCACTAACTTTCAGTAGCACCCAGATTTTATGTCGCTCAGGATAACTTCAAAATGAGAGGAATAGCGATTGTAGTTCTCCTATAAAACGTTATCACAAAAAACCATCTACCGATCGGATGTGTCGTAAAATTGTTATGTCCTTCAATTTATGTTAAAGAATGTAGACACTTAAAATTTGTAATTTTTTGTTTCTTGTTTAATCTGTATTTTTGATTTATTTAAGGGTCGGCACGCTGCAATTTGCGAAGGAATTCCCCATTACAAGGGAGCATATCGACGCTTGATCGACCTATCTCGGCAGCCGGTTCGAATACGTCCTATCACTGCAAATTTTTCAAGAACGCACTATCTCTATGTAAATTCAATATATCGGCAACTGATATAGGGCGTTTTCAACCATTTGCTGAGATAGCACGTTCTTCAACCGAATTGTGAATTAGGGATCTTTTTTTATAGAGATAGGTCGCTCTTCCACTCAGCCGTCGATAAGAATGTTGTTCTTTCTACAAAATTCAACGAGTTGTCTGCAAAGGCAGGTGACAGGTTTCGCAACGGACTACTCTTCGCTTTTATGTACAGTTCAGTCCCAAGAATGCATTGCCTTTTAAGAAAGCTCAATACGAATTTTCTTTTGACGCAATTGCCGGCTCTTTTGTCAGCCGCTGGCATATCCAGCAGTTTTTTATTGCCAAAAAGTCCTTTCACAATGCGCATGTCACAACTCAAAGGATATTTTCTGCCTTATTTGACGTTTCCCACTTTATCGAATCGTGTGCCAACATAAACAATGTGAAAAAATATTCTCCAATTTATTGCTCAAACAATTATTTTATAAAATTATAAATCACGTTTTAGTGATGAATTTAATGCACGGAATTGTTATCATTCTCAGCGCTGTAGTGTTTCTTTTCTACAAACTCTCCAAACAAAGAAGTTCTTCATTGCAAAACATTCAGGCATTGCGGCCACCCAATCCGGAAACGCCGCAGCCTCCTTCGTTTTCACCGCTATACGAATATGAAAACGGTGCGGTGTGTTCCGACAGCGATGTTTGCAGCAGAATCGGCAGGTAATTACCCACACATATACTCGCATGCAACTTGTAGCCTTTTGCGTTGTGGAATTCTCAACTGGTAAATAATTTTGCTTCCCTCAGGGATATTATGCAGAAGTCGGCAGGTAGCGCCGTCGATGCAGCCATTGCCTCACTCTTCTGCAACGGACTGCTGGCCATGCAAAGCATGGGGCTCGGCGGCGGTGTACTTATAAACATCTATTCCGGTAGTGAGCAACGTGCCTATAGCATTTTGAGCAGAGAGCGAGCGCCACATCATTTCCAGTTGCCTGCGACGAATGTAAGCACCATCTTTCAATCGGCTTTGGGTATTGCAGTGCCCGCTGAGATTGCCGGCTATGCGGTGGCGCATCAACATTTCGGCAAGCTGCCTTGGCGGCAACTGGTGGAACCGACCACAAAATTGTGTCGTAACGGTTATATACTGACCAAACACCAACGCGATTCGGTATATATAAATGGCAAGCTGCTCAAAGAGAATGCTGTGCTGCGCAAAATGTTTGTAGATCCAAAAACTGGCCAAGTGTTTAGAACGGGCGCGCATGTACGGCCACCGGACGTGCTCTGTCGCACATACGAAGCGTTGGCGCGGGATGGACCAGCAGACTTTTACCATGGCGATTTGATGGAGAAAGTTGTAGGTGACTTGCGAGAGTTCGGCAGTCCCATCAATGAGTTGGACATGCAAAATTTGACAGCCGACTTAGTTTTTTCACCCAATGTAACTTTGGGTCCATACACATTGCACTTCACACCACCACCTGGCAGCGGTTATGTGGTTGGATTTGTGATGAAAATTTTGGAAAAATTCCGTATGAAATTTGCTACCGTAGGCAATCTCGATGCCAATGGGCTGCATCGCATCGTCGAGGCGCTCAAATTTGGGTTCGTCGAACGTTGGAAGCTGGATGTTGAGGCGCCGGAAGAGGTGCATTGCGGTCTACGTTTATACTGTCTTCAAATTAATTTTAATATTTTGCTTTCTCTTTTTAACGCTTAAGGAATTATTCAATCTTACAAATGCGACCTTTGCGCGCCAACTGGCTTATCTAATTGATGAGGCGCGTACTTTCCGAGATGCTACAAGCTATGGCGCCAGCGAGCACTTGGTGACGCGCACGGAGTATGGCACAGCGCATATATCGGTGTTGGCGCCAAACGGTGATGCTGTAGCCGCAACGAGCTCTATTAACTTTTAGTAAGTGTGCTTATAGACTTCCTTGATTTTTTTTTTTTTGGAAATGTGTAAAGCTACTTTTGTGCTTTCAGTTTTGGCAGCGGCAAAATCGGCGCGCGCTCCGGCATACTCTTCAATAACGCAATGTCAGATTTCGCCATTGACGGTTTACAAAATTACTTTGATCTGCCCAATATGCCGCAGAGGAATCGCATTAAACCCGGCGCCTCGCCCATGTCTTCCATGAGTCCCATTATTGTAACCGATCAGAGCGGCGAGGTGCGTTTGGTGACTGGCGCTGCTGGCGGCACAAAAATTATCTCCGTTCTGGTGCATATCTTGGTGCGAATACTATGGTTGGAGCAGAATATTAAACAGGCTATTGATGCACCGCGCTTTCATCACCAATTGGAACCGAATATACTCGAGTATGAATATGGCATATTGCAGGATGTTATTAATGTTTTGGAGGCGAAGGGGCATAAGACCAAGCGCTATAGGGAGCGTGGATCTGCTGTTTGTGGTATTGAACGTGTCGGCGGCAAAATTTACGGAAATGCTGACTATCGTAAAGAGGGAGATGTTATGGGTTTCTAGATAGTTTCTTTTTGCGAAGTGAGAAATATGTAGCTATGAGCAACTCGATTTTATTTGCTAGTTTTAAGGATAGTTAGAAGAAAAGAAGACTTACACAAAAGCTAAAAAGTAATCGAACTAAAAATCAACGCTTAACGAAGATAAAATGTTCATATGAAAAAGGTTTAAAAGTATTAATTAAAATTTTATGCTACTTTATCAAAGTTAGTTAACGCGAGCAATGAAACTTGCAAATTTTCTTAAATTAATATAATGTGATATTCGATTAAAAGCGTAGTTTAATATTTAATTCATCGAAAAGTCAATAAGTATTTAAATTATTTAAATTTGAAAAATGTCTATTTAAATGAAAATATTCCGAAAATCTAATACCCTCCATAAACTTACCAAATCTAATTAAAACGTCAAGCAATTTTTGTTCTCCTAGAAAGTAGGTTTTGTTTTTATAACCTCGCATAATCATTCAAACTCTAATGTTTTGAAATGAGCGCGTAAGGCCGAGGCCACGCAATGAGCGGCAAAGCGGCGAGCCAGCTTTCGATTGGGAGTTTAAAGTAATTTTCTAACAGAAAATGTGTTGAGTTGCATTTTTTTTTTATTTATTGGATGCTAAACTTAGTTTTAAGTCATTTTCAACACGTGGCAATACTAGTACTTTTTAAAGGCTGATGAAATACGAGGTTTTTTACTATTTTGCATTTATTTTTATTACGATGTGTAAAATGTTTTGATGGTAAATTTTTTACCTTAATTTTTTAAAATACATCAAAAACCATGTGAATAAAAATTTCAAACTTTGGCGAAAATTGAGGAAT